TATATGTACAGGATAAACCATGACTGTTGTATTGCTGCATACTCATATCATGGCATCACAGTTATATGTACAGGATAAACAATGACTGTTGTATTGCTGCATACTCATATCATGGCATCACAGTTATATGTACAGGATAAACTATGACTGTTGTATTGCTGCATACTCATATCATGGCATCACAGTTATATGTACAGGATAAACCATGACTGTTGTATTGCTGCATACTCATATCATGGCATCACAGTTATATGTACAGGATAAACTATGACTGTTGTATTGCTGCATACTCATATCATGGCATCACAGTTATATGTACAGGATAAACCATGACTGTTGTATTGCTGCATCCTACCATCATGGCATCACAGTTATATGTACAGGATAAACCATGACTGTTGTATTGCTGCATACTCATATCATGGCATCACAGTTATATGTACAGGATAAACTATGACTGTTGTATTGCTGCATACTCATATCATGGCATCACAGTTATATGTACAGGATAAACCATGACTGTTGTATTGCTGCATACTCATATCATGGCATCACAGTTATATGTACAGGATAAACCATGACTGTTGTATTGCTGCATACTCATATCATGGCATCACAGTTATATGTACAGGATAAACCATGACTGTTGTATTGCTGCATACTCATATCATGGCATCACAGTTATATGTACAGGATAAACCATGACTGTTGTATTGCTGCATCCTACCATCAAGGCATCTCAGTTAATATATGTACAGGATAAACCATGACTGTTGTATTGCTGCATCCCACCATCAAGGCATCACAGTTATATGTACAGGATAAACCATGACTGTTGTACTGCTGCATCCTACCATCACAGTTATATGTACAGGATAAACCATGACTGTTGTATTGCTGCATACTCATATCATGGCATCACAGTTATATGTACAGGATAAACAATGACTGTTGTATTGCTGCATACTCATATCATGGCATCACAGTTATATGTACAGGATAAACTATGACTGTTGTATTGCTGCATACTCATATCATGGCATCACAGTTATATGTACAGGATAAACCATGACTGTTGTATTGCTGCATACTCATATCATGGCATCACAGTTATATGTACAGGATAAACAATGACTGTTGTATTGCTGCATACTCATATCATGGCATCACAGTTATATGTACAGGATAAACCATGACTGTTGTATTGCTGCATACTCATATCATGGCATCACAGTTATATGTACAGGATAAACAATGACTGTTGTATTGCTGCATACTCATATCATGGCATCACAGTTATATGTACAGGATAAACAATGACTGTTGTATTGCTGCATACTCATATCATGGCATCACAGTTATACGTACAGGATAAACCATGACTGTTGTATTGCTGCATCCTACCATCAAGGCATCTCAGTTAATATATGTACAGGATAAACCATGACTGTTGTATTGCTGCATCCCACCATCAAGGCATCACAGTTATATGTACAGGATAAACCATGACTGTTGTACTGCTGCATCCTACCATCACAGTTATATGTACAGGATAAACCATGACTGTTGTATTGCTGCATACTCATATCATGGCATCACAGTTATATGTACAGGATAAACAATGACTGTTGTATTGCTGCATACTCATATCATGGCATCACAGTTATATGTACAGGATAAACTATGACTGTTGTATTGCTGCATACTCATATCATGGCATCACAGTTATATGTACAGGATAAACTATGACTGTTGTATTGCTGCATACTCATATCATGGCATCACAGTTATATGTACAGGATAAACCATGACTGTTGTATTGCTGCATCCTACCATCATGGCATCACAGTTATATGTACAGGATAAACCATGACTGTTGTATTGCTGCATACTCATATCATGGCATCACAGTTATATGTACAGGATAAACTATGACTGTTGTATTGCTGCATACTCATATCATGGCATCACAGTTATATGTACAGGAGAAACCATGACTGTTGTATTGCTGCATCCTACCATCAAGGCATCACAGTTATATGTACAGGATAAACTATGACTGTTGTATTGCTGCATACTCATATCATGGCATCACAGTTATATGTACAGGATAAACCATGACTGTTGTATTGCTGCATACTCATATCATGGCATCACAGTTATATGTACAGGATAAACTATGACTGTTGTATTGCTGCATCCTACCATCACAGTTATATGTACAGGATAAACCATGACTGTTGTATTGCTGCATACTCATATCATGGCATCACAGTTATATGTACAGGATAAGCCATGACTGTTGTATTGCTGCATACTCATATCATGGCATCACAGTTATATGTACAGGATAAACCATGACTGTTGTATTGCTGCATACTCATATCATGGCATCACAGTTATATGTACAGGATAAACCATGACTGTTGTATTGCTGCATACTCATATCAAGGCATCACAGTTATATGTACAGGATAAACCATGACTGTTGTATTGCTGCATACTCATATCAAGGCATCACAGTTATATGTACAGGATAAACTATGACTGTTGTATTGCTGCATACTCATATCATGGCATCACAGTTATATGTACAGGATAAACCATGACTGTTGTATTGCTGCATACTCCAATCATGGCATCACAGTTATATGTACAGGATAAACCATGACTGTTGTATTGCTGCATCCTCCCATCAAGGCATCACAGTTATATGTACAGGATAAACCATGACTGTTGTATTGCTGCATACTCATATCATGGCATCACAGTTATATGTACAGGATAAACCATGACTATTGTATTGCTGCATCCCACCATCAAGGCATCACAGTTATATGTACAGGATAAACCATGACTCTTGTATTGCTGCATCCTCCCATCAAGGCATCACAGTTATATGTACAGGATAAACCATAACTGTTGTATTGCTGCATACTCATATCATGGCATCACAGTTATATGTACAGGATAAACCATGACTGTTGTATTGCTGCATACTCCAATCATGGCATCACAGTTATATGTACAGGATAAACCATGACTGTTGTATTGCTGCATACTCCAATCATGGCATCACAGTTATATGTACAGGATAAACCATGACTGTTGTATTGCTGCATACTCCCATCAAGGCATCACAGTTATATGTACAGGATAAACTATGACTGTTGTATTGCTGCATACTCATATCATGGCATCACAGTTATATGTACAGGATAAACTATGACTGTTGTATTGCTGCATCCCACCATCATGGCATCACAGTTATATGTACAGGATAAACCATGACTGTTGTATTGCTGCATACTCATATCATGGCATCACAGTTATATGTACAGGATAAACCATGACTATTGTATTGCTGCATCCCACCATCAAGGCATCACAGTTATATGTACAGGATAAACCATGACTCTTGTATTGCTGCATCCTCCCATCAAGGCATCACAGTTATATGTACAGGATAAACCATAACTGTTGTATTGCTGCATACTCATATCATGGCATCACAGTTATATGTACAGGATAAACCATGACTGTTGTATTGCTGCATACTCCAATCATGGCATCACAGTTATATGTACAGGATAAACCATGACTGTTGTATTGCTGCATACTCCAATCATGGCATCACAGTTATATGTACAGGATAAACCATGACTGTTGTATTGCTGCATACTCCCATCAAGGCATCACAGTTATATGTACAGGATAAACTATGACTGTTGTATTGCTGCATACTCATATCATGGCATCACAGTTATATGTACAGGATAAACTATGACTGTTGTATTGCTGCATCCCACCATCATGGCATCACAGTTATATGTACAGGATAAACCATGACTGTTGTATTGCTGCATACTCATATCATGGCATCACAGTTATATGTACAGGATAAACCATGACTGTTGTATTGCTGCATCCTACCATCACAGTTATATGTACAGGATAAACCATGACTGTTGTATTGCTGCATACTCATATCATGGCATCACAGTTATATGTACAGGATAAACCATGACTGTTGTATTGCTGCATACTCATATCATGGCATCACAGTTATATGTACAGGATAAACTATGACTGTTGTATTGCTGCATACTCATATCATGGCATCACAGTTATATGTACAGGATAAACCATGACTGTTGTATTGCTGCATCCCACCATCAAGGCATCACAGTTATATGTACAGGATAAACCATGACTGTTGTATTGCTGCATCCTACCATCATGGCATCACAGTTATATGTACAGGATAAACCATGACTGTTGTATTGCTGCATCCTACCATCATGGCATCACAGTTATATGTACAGGATAAACCATGACTGTTGTATTGCTGCATACTCATATCATGGCATCACAGTTATATGTACAGGATAAACTATGACTAGCTATACCACATGATTTTTTCATATTACAGACAACTGATTATAAATAACATTTCCTGATAGATGACATTCTACTGATTTCAGATCACTTTTCCTTTTTAAAATCGGACAATAAATAAATATTTTAGAGGCAAACAAAGCGTCGAAATTCGGGGTACCGGTCTAGATCGGTTTTGTTCATAATTACTGGAAAGTCGCGGACCGTTTTTTTTGTCAAAAATATCTACATTTTTCCAAAACTTTGCTGTTTGTTGGTGTATTTAAACAAAATTTGGTACATAGGGTAATTGGATACCACTGATTTCATTTTTGGCATCAGAATTCACCTATATCTAATGCATCAAGAGTTATTCCAGAAATTAAAGCAAAAAAATTAAAGAATTGAGAGTGTCCAAGTAATGGACGATGCTTCCATGTGAAGTACAGTCTACCAACCCAGAAATTCATACAAAGTTTGTTCCTAAATATCATAAATAAACAACAAACACACTCATACTTTATTAATCTTGAAGTATTCCATAAAACATGACCAATATAAACATTACAATATCATACTCATAGTCAAAACATATGAATAATAAAATGATAATTTAACTGTACCATAACCTAATTGGTATCACTAGAAGTGTCATTGTTTAAACAAAAATCACACAAAATTGTCTATCTCAGCATGAGTAACAGACATAAAGCTTCTTCACTGGACACCTTCCCACATGTCTATGCTGCCCAATACCTGCAAGAAATAACAGTCATTTTGAACACCTCCAACACCATCCTTATGTTACAAAATGAAAAAAAATATACAATATGATATTTTGTTTTTACTTTCCAGATGTTGAGTTGCAATAAGTATTACTTGTATTCATTGAATTGCAGCTTACCTCTGTTTGTAGTCTTCATATGCTGATTGAAGTTGTAGATATTGTGGGAGGAAAAACATTCTCCCACCAGATTTCGGCTCAGGATGGCTGAGGCTACTTAAAAAAATAAACTGACATCTGATGATGGACTGGTCATCCCTGGATGGATACTTAAACTGCCCAGGAATACTGGTTGGGTGAAGGAACTTCACTTCATAGCTGAAGGGATGAGATGCCGAGGAGACGCAGATGATCTGACCTGAATAACAATATATATTATATACATTTTGTTAACATTTAACTGTTCCTCACACCAGTTAGAAATGTACTGATTACCATAACAATTCTATAAATGTTTACAAAATATTCTGATGAAAATTAATGATTAATTTCGAATTTCTACATAAAATTTCAGATCAGTTAAGATGTGCATATAGTTATTATATTACTTAATCTGGGATTTCACCAGTAAAACAGAAAAATCAGCTGAAATGTTGTTGTACTTACAGTGACAAATGCACTTTTAAAATCAAACAATAAATATTGTCTGATCTGCCTTCTAGATGTTTTGTGAGTCAAAAATCAAACACACAAGTTGATGGATGACTTTTTGTATATTGCAGATAGCGTAGGTGTTGATTCTCAGTGTAATCTCGCACCGTTATCAAGCTATAAGTGAATACAACCAGAAGATGAGAGGTATATACATGTATACATAGTATGTTACGACAAACAGCAGATTAACATTAACAACAACATATAATTGAATACAAGCTAGTATAAAATAGTGAGAGGCCAGTAGGGGACTAACAGTAACAACAACAAATGAGACAGGTGACAATGCCAGTAAACAAGGGGGATTAAGTTGTAACAACAACCCTATCAGTTTGTTATTACGACTTAATTCCCCTTTGTTTAATAGTTTGTCATTACAACTAAATCCCTCTTGTTTATTTGCTTCGATACCAGTCTCATTTGTTGTTCTTAGTCCCCTAGTGGCCTCTAACAATTATGTGCCAGGAGTAGTGTTGTTAGTCACTTGGTTGTATTCACCTTTAGCTTGACCGCAGTCTACATCGAAACGTTGCTATATGCAATAAAAAAGTAGTTGTCATCCATAAAGTTGTATGCTTCATTTTTAACCAATGAATAAATAATTTTGTGCAGAGGAATTTATTAAATGCAGATATAATATCGTCCCTACGTTCGCAATCCTTCAAATGTTGATTTGATATAACTTACTGTGGATATGTTGATAAAGTTCTAACTTCAGTGTGAATGTCAGCGTTTATGATGCCCATCGTTTGAGATCTATTTTATAGGCAATCTAAAATGTGTGAGAAGTTACGTGTGTTGCCATGGTCATAAAAACATGAAAAAGTTTAGCCGCAATCTAAGCTACTTGAGCTGTCCAAATTACCGGACGTTAGAAATAACATTTACGATCACCGATGCTGGAGGAATAGACAATAAATCACAGCCGTTGCTTAGAATAATTTCAATAAACACAATATAGTGTATCTCCTGCCGATTGTTAGTGTATTACGCTATGATTGACATTACCCCATTACCCTACTCTCTACTGAAAGACGTTATCAAAACAACTTAACCATGACAAGATTATGTACCTTTTCAGTTGTAATTTGTTCACGCTGGGCATTTTATTATATGCAGGGATAAAGATTACGTGTGCATATTTGTCGTATACAGAACCGGAAATAGCAATCAGCTGTGCACACGTTCCTAGGCGATCTACCGGTGATTTATTTAAAACATACCCAGTAATATAACGAGATGAAATCTGGAGCAGTGATCGGTAAAATATGCTATCTAAACTACTATTTAACCAAGATCGATAAATTCTAGAATTGTGTCTTTGTAATTACTGGTTTTGCTCTATAAATGTTAAATACTTGTAACCATAACTAAGGTTATGCGGGAGCACTTTTGATGTCATGCCGGATAGTTTTTGTGCATGGAACAATTTGACCTGTCACCGATGAGATGTTGCGCGATCTCGCTATTTCTACCGCGAAAACAATTTGTTGACATGTGATCGCCAAACTACAAGAAATATGACTTTTAGCGAAACAATATACTCACACATATATATGTATCCATTTTCTGTCAACTACACTAGCTAAATATCATGCTGTTTACAGACAGAACCGAAATCACCACAATATGAACCGTAAATAGAACCGAGTGTAAATAGCTCAGTCTTTTGGTGGGAACGGTTTCTGGGAAAGAGATATTACGTGTCAAATATTTTCATACAGATCCATTTCAGTAGATGACGATTTTAGCATTCATCGTTCACCATTTACTATGCAGTAACAGTTTGACATAGGATATTGTCAGACAGAGGCCGAAACCGTAGTGATCTACGCTCTACTGCTGTTAGCGTTAGTGCATGGGTCGGGCTCCGGGGGTGAAAATGGCACGTTTTGAACGGCACTAGTTTCATATTACGCGATCTCACGCCGTGTTACCCAATTTTAATATTGTTGATATATACATCAAAATAAAGGGGAAATGTTGCTCTTTATGCTACGCGATGTTACAGATTGAAAACGGACTTACCTTGCAAATGGCGAGTACTTGAAAATGGGGGAGTTTTTCAAACGCCAATTCCACACCGTTCCTCTTCATTCGTCGAAATATAAAATATACCACATGAAAGACCATCTTCTGATCTTACTGTCCACCAATTTCTATGACATTTCAACTCAAAACAGCAGCACGACGGTGCTTTGAAAATACCCCGACGAAACTGGGCACTGCCATCAAACGGTCCACGGGACGCGACCTTTGACAGATTGGCAAAGCTGACACTCACCTCGCTGTCACTAATTAACCGAAAAAACAACAAACACCATTTTTTTATGTTATTTACTTTAATGTGTTGTCTAAACATATCAGAAAAATAACTGAAAAGATTCAATAGTTTTTCTGTAGTAGTCAGACAGAGGCCGAAACCGTAGTGATGTACGCTCTACTGCTGTTAGCGTTAGTGCATGGGTCGGGCTCCGGGGGTGAAAATGGCACGTTTTGAACGGCACTAGTTTCATATTACGCGATCTCACGCCGTGTTACCCAATTTTAATATTGTTGATATATACATCAAAATAAAGGGGAAATGTTGCTCTTTATGCTACGCGATGTTACAGATTGAAAACGGACTTACCCTGCAAATGGCGAGTACTTGAAAATGGGGGAGTTTTTCAAACGCCAATTATACATCGTTCCTCAGCATTCGTCGAAATATAAAATATACCACAAGAAAGACCATCTTCTGATCTTACTGTCCACCAATTTCTATGACATTTCAACTTAAAACAGCTGCACCATGGTGTTTTGAAAACACCCCGACGAAACTGGGCACTGCCATCAAACGGTCCACGGGACGCGACCTTTGACAGATTGCCAAAGCTGACACTCACCTCGCTGTCACTAATTAACTGAATAAACAACAAACACCATTTTTTGATATTATTTACTTTAATATGTTGTCTAAACATATCAGAAGAAATAACTGAAAAAGATTCAATAGTTTTTCTGTAGTATACGAATAAAGAAAATATTCCAGGGTAATTAGCCAAATCTAGTCAATTAGTGGGGGGCTGTGGTATAGCTACCATGACTGTTGTATTGCTGCATCCTACCATCACAGTTATATGTACAGGATAAGCCATGACTGTTGTATTGCTGCATACTCATATCATGGCATCACAGTTATATGTACAGGATAAACCATGACTGTTGTATTGCTGCATACTCATATCATGGCATCACAGTTATATGTACAGGATAAACTATGACTGTTGTATTGCTGCATACTCATATCATGGCATCACAGTTATATGTACAGGATAAACCATGACTGTTGTATTGCTGCATCCCACCATCAAGGCATCACAGTTATATGTACAGGATAAACCATGACTGTTGTATTGCTGCATCCTACCATCATGGCATCACAGTTATATGTACAGGATAAACCATGACTGTTGTATTGCTGCATCCTACCATCATGGCATCACAGTTATATGTACAGGATAAACCATGACTGTTGTATTGCTGCATCCTACCATCATGGCATCACAGTTATATGTACAGGATAAACCATGACTGTTGTATTGCTGCATCCCACCATCAAGGCATCACAGTTATATGTACAGGATAAACCATGACTGTTGTACTGCTGCATCCTACCATCAAGGCATCACAGTTATATGTACAGGATAAACCTGTTTGCTCTCTTTTTAAAAAAGATTCAACACATTTCTAATTAAACGTTTAGCATCATCTGAATAAGCTTTCATGCTGACAGCTAGAAGTAGTCAATGTGAATGATCCAAACGGTCTATCATTGTGCAGTGCACAGGTAACTCTCATGAACTGCACGTGCATTTACCTTTATGACCCAACACTGCCGCTGTTACAGGTCATTGGCTCCATCCCTCTGCAAGCAGTCTGCGGTCTGCTGTTTATTTTGTTGACAGTTACATAGACAGATTCTTTAATACAAATGCATAAAATTGGTGATTTACAATGTGATTAGGTTGTCTGACAAAACATCCACTTGCACAGTTTGAGATTGATTGGGTCATTGGATGAAGAGATATTTACAAAAAAACGGGTCCACATGCATTTCATGCCAAACTATAATGGGCAGCACACAAAGTCAGCTGCCTAACCGACGAAGGGGTAGAGCCTAACAAAAGTGCAAGAATCTGTACTTTACAAAGAAAGTGTAATCCTAAATATAACATATGTTACATTTGACCAATTTCTAAATGGTATTGCGTAATCAAGGAGGAGTATATTTTCTCACTATTAAGATACAAATCTAACTCAATTTTTCAAATGTCATACATCTCTACAGTTAACAGGATGTGTTTGCTTGTTGAATGCATGGCTGACTGATTGCATGAGCAGCATGTGCAAGTGATTACCTGCAGCTGTGTCCCATGACAATAAACATTGTATGAACTGATTCTTTTTTTCCTGTTTCTTTTTTTCCTAGCAAAAATTGATTCTTTTTTCCCGATTCTTTTTTTCCTGATGCTTTTTTTCCGATTACCGACAATAAACACATGTATTTTAGTGTGAAAGAGAAAGTCAATATATTGGACAGTGGTGGACATGTATTGTGACAAAGAATATGTTTAAGACCTCTAGGAAGTTTCAGATCATTTCCAGCTCAGATTTTTAAATTAGGATATAGGATGGTAGGATGTACTCCCTCTGGTAGGGTTAAGAAACATTTTCATTCACTCTACCATAATTAGCAAGTATAATAAGACACTTGCATTTTCATACCATTTGAAACTAGATTTTACATGGGAAATGTTGTTTGAAAACATAGTTAAAGAGCATAAAATTATGTTTGCTTGAAGACGCAACCAGTACACTATTGACATAGGGTGAAGATATATATTCACATAACAGTAAACAATGGTTATAACTGATTGGGACCACTAACTGTACTTTACATGAGGATAGTTCATCACACGTATTTAGAATACAAGATACAGCAAGCGGCCAGGACAAAACAAACCCAGTTGATGATATCCAATCCATTATAAGCTTGTTCAGTATAAACATAGTTTACTGCAGTTACTTCCTGTGATTGTATCCTTTCAGTCCACTTGTTTATTGTTTACTTTAAACCTATACTAAATCTCAAAGGATAAGCACTTTATGACACCCCAGTGGGCCATAACAAGTTAGAAACCACTGGTGGACACACCTCCTAGACAGATGGGATGGGTGGGAAAACGTCAAACCAACTCACCAGTATGGGGCAGATGTCAATAACACCAGGCAAACAAACAGGAAAAACAAGATACTGTTAAGAGCCCATTATGCTTTTGCTGCTCCTGGGTATTTCCTTGAACAGTGGTCACTTGATGCCATTTTGTAAACATTTCGTATGTCTAGATGTTACATCGTGCATTCATATTTTTCTAGAAAATAATTTGTAAAAAAAATAATTACATTTTTATGTGAAACAGAAATATTTCCTGACCATAACCACTATTTTGTAATTGCCAAGGGTGTTAAATGTAGTGAATACCATTTAGAAGATCAAGTAGATGACCATTTTATAACCCATATGACTAATAACATTGCATACAATACTGTTTTAAGGTCACAGATGGGAATCTGTAATAGCATAAGGAAGAAGATGTGATGTCCAGCGAGCTGCCGTTCCTCACCTGATGATCGTAATGAAACAAAAAGTGGAAATCAAAACAAACTTCGAACAAAGTGAATGGTAAAGGATGATGCAACCACCATGTTTCTATATCAATCAATTTTGGTTAACATAGATTTGCAAATACACATTTTGATTACACCTATCTTCCCTGAAAGCTTTTTTTCCCGTTAAGGTAATGTCCAAACGTAAAGGTTTCAAAGCAAGACTTTCCTTTCAAAATCCCAGGTTTGGGAGATAAGCTAGTTACTGATTCAGTTCACATCACCATTCAGCTGAGAATGTCAGGAACCTGAAGCAATGAAGGACACTTAACTGATTTGTTTATAAGTGAAAACAGAGCGTGAACAGTTTTACAGACGAATGTAGTAATCAAGTGAAGCAGCTGTCTCAGAGACATCAAGAAAGTACTTCTCTCTTCTGTGGACTACTGCTTGTCTATATTTATGCTGATTGAATTTAGTGTTCAGACCTAGTTTTTGTGTGGTGTTTTATAAGTAGGATATCTCTTGCTCACTGCTGTGTTGGGGATAACTCTGTTAAAACATGTACAGCAGCTATACTGGAGCTGGTATAGTCTATTACAACTCGGACATGAAGCTCCCTGGTCATATTAATGGAACAGTTACCAGGCCTACCAAAGAAAACTTTCCCACTGTGCAGAAAAACGCAGAAAAGCCCACATTAATCAGGGAAATAGCAACATAAACACATTACCTCGCTACTGAAACAGTAAAAACGGCAACAAAAAAATGAGGAAACTGCAACATTTTTATATCAGCGAACTTTGACCTCTACTGCGCATGCGCATTACGATCCGGGCTTCTTTCCAATTTCCGGGCAACCGTGAATTGCCTCGCGTAGAAAAAGTATTAAATATGTCGAAATAATTGCTGTCAATTGTTTCATACGAATGGAAAGTAAACTAAACAAGTGTGCACACAAGTATCATGATGATAAATGCCAAATAACACAACAGAAATACTTTAAAAGGAATGTAACTTTTGTCCAAGCTGGAAAATGTCAACATGCGGTCGAGACTTTCTCTTCCATGTGCGCATGCGCAAAATTGAAGTTGCAGGCTCCTCGTTTTATGATGCAGTGTTAGTGATTTAAAGTTGCCGTTTTTACTGTTTCAGTAGCGAGGTATTATGTTTATGTTGCTATTTCCACGATTAATGTGGGCTTTTCTGCGTTTTTCTGCACAGTGGGAAAGTTTTCTTTGGTAGGCCTGGTTACCCTACTTAATGACCTTTCATCCATGGCTTTACATAGACATTACACTTACACACGGACTATTTAAAAACGAAAGATAAATATTGATTTTTGTCACCTTCAATAAATATGCATTACCCAGATTAATATTATCACTGTAAATATATAGAAACAAACCCATGGTTGTAGACAGCAACTGTAGACGGGTAGACCTGTTTGTGGTGAATGACGTTTAGGAACAACCTCACTACCTTCAATGTCATCCTCTTGCCTTGGAAGTGAATCCTGTCTAAACTTGATAGATTTGTCCACTACGTCAGTTTTTCCAGCCAAACTTGATCCTTCCCTTAATACTACAATATTCACAATACATTTTCCTGGAACATTTGTCAAATACCAGACAGTCAAAATCGGTTAAGCACAAAACACCAAATTCACCTGCATTTCAGATGACCTGCTTTGACTTTCTGATGAATATAATATTTCTTTGTTTACATGGCAATAATGGCATGAAGTCATTATCCCCATCTTGCTCATTACCAACAGTTTCATTATCAGTTTCAACACCAGATTTCTGGGTCAAGAAGTAGGTGACTGACTTTCTTCAACTGTCATAAGTCCCAGAATCCAAACCTAACTCTAGCATTTGGATAGTCCCAAAATTAAACAAGCAACAGTGATTTCAAATTGACTTCAAAATGCTTTTGAGATTAATTAATGAAGTCCACACACAAAATTTATTCAAACTGTCACTTTAACTGGATATACTGTCTCCAGAAGAAATTTCTACTTTCCTCTAGCCAACTATTTCTGAAAACTTGACCGCCATTACTAACATTCAATCACATGTGCAAGTGTTTTACAAAAACTGTGATCACCCGTCACAAGTTTCTCTCACCCCTTCATAAGTTTCTCCAAAACTGTCATACAGTCAACAAGTCAAAGGTTGCCCCAACATGTATAGATGTTCTCCATTCATGTCACAGGTTCCAACCTGCATGGCTAGATAGTCTCAATTGCTAACATACACTACCCCTACATGTCTTGTGTTTCTCCTTCCTGTTATACCTTTCTAGTAACATTTTCTGACATATTTTTGTGTTTATTTCCTCTGGACCTATGCTACATGTAAATTTTAATTGTTCTTAGATTCCCATATTATAGTGTTTATGTAGATGTATTTTGACTGATTTTGCACTATAATTAACAGAGTACTAGCCATACGTTCAAGTGCAATGAAATTACTGAAAATATTACAACATTTTAGTTGACGTCATGGCTTGATTTACGTATTTTTTATACATCTCACCTAATTTCCATTATTTGTATTAAAGCTTTCAGTTTCTCTGTCAGAAATTACGGCTCTTTCAACAGAACATAAAATGACTGATTTCACCATTTAAATAATGTCCTGAGTAGATGAACAATTAGCTGGTTTGACTGTGTAAGAAAGAGAAAATATATATATTTTCCCCGCTCGCAAAATTAAATCCTAATGTTAAGATATACGGGAGCAAGACTTTGACTACGCAAGACAGTTTGTTGGACACTAAAACACCAGTATCTGTTCTCAGAGACTTTAAACTGAATTATCTAACAATATTTGCGTAAGAAGTCAGTGCTTCGAACACCTCAGCCAGTGTGAAGTTAAAAAACAATGCCTTTGAAAAATTCATGTGCGTGTTTGCTTTGACTGGTGATTTTTCCCTCCTTCCTTTAGGTTGTCTGAGGACAACAAGAAATAAAATTGGTCTGGCTTAAGTATAAAATGAAAGATGCAAAAAAGATAGCCCTTTTTGTATGGAACTATCAGAATACTGATGGAAGGTTTGCTTAAAGTAAGACATGGCATTTATATTTGGTTTATATTTGTTTTATAAATTTCGTAGAAATAAAGTTACAGTGTGATATCCTGTCATCACAATATTTTTGTTTTGATAATGAATTGATAATATTATCAAAAACAATGATAGTGAACTGTAAAACGCTTGTGACAAACACCCACCTGGCCAATCATTTTACATCACCATTTTGTAAATAAAACAAAATAAAGCAATTCAATGAACAACACAATTCCTTCAAAAATATGTGTATATACATTTCATGAAAAATAAGAATCATTTTAATTAATATTGTCAGTTTTACTTGTAAGGTTAAATAAAATCGCTGTTCAATAACCTGTTCATATGAAACTGTAATATTGATCCCAATATTGAATATTGCACATCATAGGAACTAAAGGACATGTTGCAGTTATGCCTAAATTTCATCTACTAACACTTGTGAAAAGGAATAAAATATGGTGTACTACACTAAACCTGTTAATTTCTTAAGTAAATATTATTCAAACAAACCAAAACTTTCAAAATATAAAAAAAACTTATGGCCTAAATCCACGTACGATATGATATTGAAAATGGCTAAATGAAGATTCTGAAATTAGTTTCATGAAGAAATATCTGAACGATACGCAAAATATACATCATAATACTGAAAAGGTAATCGGCAGGATATGGTGATTGTGTTTACTCTTTTTCAACCGACTTCTAAGAAATCGACAAATATGTATGTATACATATTTCTTACAAAATGGTGACTTCGTTGACAAGGGTACGCAGGATTTTGTGAGGACCCTTCCCTTGATTCAGGGAATGTTTGTACATAAATATGTGATGTAAGTAATCAGAAACATTCTGACTATCTGCATATGGTTATCTTTGTCTATTGTTTTCATTTTAAGTATGAGAAGAAGCCAGAATTGTGGATAATTACCGGTGACGTTCTGCGTGATTTTACATCAGTCATGGCATCAAGCTGCACAGAAACTTTGGCCATTTCGTATGAATATCTCAATTTACTGTATTGTATCTATTCTTAATGCAACGAATAGACGAATGGATGTATGAAATTTTGAAAAAATGCTACGCAGTGTAAAAATTGGTTTAGGTGACAGAGACCATTTGTTATATAATTCTGAGTTGATGAGGACCTCAGTGATGTATTTGTCGCAGCTGAATGTAAAATATACGTGATGTAATGGGCTTCCCATGACCAGTCTTTGCAAAACTTGATTTAGGAAATACTATACAATATGGCAGAAACCTCACATCTGCGTTGATGTTCGTCTGTTTTCTGAAACATCCCAACCATTTTTAGGTTTATCAGCAACGTTTCAGAATTACCATTGGTGATTTGATGAAAAACAGACATCAGTGATTACTAATATGTTATTTTTTAACTTCAATCCTTTGATTAATTATCTGATTTTTACATTTCCAAACATACACCAAATATCTCTGTGAATCGCGATTTCGTAGTGTGTAAAAAGTGGCGACGTTTACGGTGAACCTAATTTTCAAAGGTCATTTTAAGCACTATTGCTCTGTCTAAGATGATTGTGATTGGTATCAAGAAACAGGAAATTTCACCCATAATTCAAAAGTGTGAAGTGCATTTGTGTGCATGATATATTGTGAATTTATTTCGACTCCAAAGCGAGGGATGAAGAGGAAGGACATATATGTCCCTCTGGCATCCAGGGGGATTAAATGGCAGACAACACAACTTCCCACCAAAAATAAAGTAGCACCTCCTTACTGCCTACAGCAACAATGTTTCTGGCTCAATAGGAATCATTCAATACCATTCTGAAAGAGGAAACCAGGGCCATATTGATCCACAGTCCATAGCTTTGGTCAAAAACTCACACTAATACTCTTAAATGTCATGTGTCAGTATCAGAAATTAAAGAAAAGATTACCGATATACAGTTTATTAAATGATTTCTTAATATCAGCAAAGTATTCATAAACTGAATAGACGTTTACGTACGGGTAAGTATATAT